AAAGCCGTAATATTTTAATATGTTCTTATTATAACCAGCAACTTTTTTTCATAGCATCATAAGAAGTTTCATAAAAATCATCGAAAAAAAAATTATTACGAAGAAGAAACAGAAGAAACGGTTCGGGCGATCTTTACCAGAAACTAATCAACACGATTCCAAACTAATACCTTTCGAATAGTTGAATTTTCAAAATAGATCTAGGATTTCTGGCTGGAAGCAGACAAACAATGTTACACCTATCTGCTATTTACAAAAGAAACGGCTGGTCGATGGTCTGGCAAAACTAATCAATGTGAATCCTTATCGAGTTACATCAAATGGCTTGTAAAAACGTTGACAATCCAAAGGTCAAAAATGCGGATTTGGTATCATTCGATACATATTGACTTGAAACGTCGGGAAACACACAAAATTAACAAATCGGATTTTCTGGCGACAACATAAACTCTTTTTCGGTAAATTAAAAATCTACACAGACAAATATTATCAGTTCTTGTAATAAACTAAATTTTAGAATAATACATGACAGGAACTTCAGATGTATCAGATAAATCTACTCGTGTTGATCAAGTTGGTCAGAGCAAAGAATCGTTCTAATAGCAGGTCGTTATCGAAATCATCAAATTCCCTTTTGAATTTTAAAATTATGCAAACTGGACTCACATTCGAACCCATCAATAGTTGACATTACTCAACTTTTGGCATAAGGAGATTGAAACGACAATAGCCTTTAGACTTAGTCTTAGATTAGGTCTAATATAATATTATCATATTAATTGTAAAACTGAGAAGATCTCATTGAAGTTCTTCTTTAGCATCGCTCTTAAATATTGTCATTTTAGCTTAGGAATCTTTATGTATTTCTGATTGCTAAATAAAACAGAGATAAAAAAAAGTATGCAAATTCCGATGTGTCAGTTATGACAATCAACAAGTATCAAGGATAAACGTTAAGCAAATCTGGTATAAATTTAACTAGAAGTTGTTTAGTATCTAATTCAAAAAACATTCGATTCGTATTGATAAGGAGACGTGCTGATTAGTTTTTGGCGAAGGCAGGTCTAGCCGTTCCGAAGATACGGGGCAAAAAGTGCCGAAAACGGTAACTCAGTTTTTAAGAGAACGGATCGCCCGATTTGAATAATTCAAAAAACATTTCACTTGTATTGACAAGATGAAAAATCGATGAAATTTTCATGAAGGTAGGTCTAGCGGTTTCGGAGATATGGAGGAAAAAGTTAAAAAATGAGCCATTTGGCGGTCAAAAATGATCATTAGACATATGCACATCAAATTATCAGATATTTTATAGAGATTTTAACAATAAGTATACATTTTGTCAACATTCCTATGGGTTCCGTACCAATGCTTATGCGTTAGACAGCGACGCGGCGCTTACGCGCTTTATATTTTGTGCCTATGCAGTTAAAGCAGTACGATTGCTTTGAAAAAAAGTTCAGATCTTCCACAATATGTCAAAATAAATAATTTTTTTTTTCAAAAAAAAAAATTAAAAAATTTTTTTTTTTTAAAAAAATTTTTTTTTTCAAAAAAAAGTTATTTTTTGTCCAATTTATAGTTTCCCAAAAATCTTATTTTTTCAAAGTAATTTTTTTTTCAAAAATGTTAATCGTTTTTAAAAAAATTATAATTTTTGGTACGGGAAGTTCCAGCAATTTGCCTTAAGGCACGATGCCTTAATTGCCTTAAGACAGAATTCCACTTACAGCTAGTTTTTTATTTATATTGCACGTTTGATTACATATAAAGGCTGCATAATATAAAGAATATGATTTGTTCAACTGTTCAATTGTAATATCTCGGGAACGGTGATTTTAACGAAAACAAGTATAATAATTTTGTAGATAAATTTATAATAAAATCTGCCTACACATTTTTTGGTAGTTTCCGCGAAAAACGAGAAATATCAGAATTTTGTACCTTTGACCTTGAATAAAAAAAAATCGCAGAGGTCGGATCGATTGGACTTTTGATATTTCATTTGTAATGACTTATTTAATATATGTCACAACTTTCAGCTCTATACGACTTTTTTCGAAGTGGAATGTCTATTTCGACTGGGCTAATACATAAATTTCGAGTGTCTGTGACTGTGAACGATATTCAAACAGCTGTCTCAAACTACATGCATGTGAATAATTATACTGCACGTATACCAAATCAACATTTTTTTTTTTTAATTTCAGTTATTTCGTTTTTTAAACTTAACTAGGTGTAAATTGCTTATTGCCGCCTAAGGGTCGGCATAATCAAAACGAAATCAATAAATTAAGTTATGGGTAATTTATAAATATTCCGAATTGCTGTAAAGCATCATATCGTAAAAAACTATAGCAGATTAATCAATTTTGTACACATGTGCCAAACGTACTAATTATTTCACACAAATAGTTTGAAGATTAGAAACTAACCAACGAAAGTGCTTATCCAACTTTCATAAAATGTCTTAAATTTTTGAAATCTGTTTTAGCTGTTTTTAAGAAAATTTCGACGAAAGATTTAATTTTGACTCACGTTAAAAAAGCCAATTTTTAAAACTTTGATAAATCTTTAAAATTAAACGGCCTGTAAAGCCGTAATATTTTAATATGTTCTTATTATAACCAGCAACTTTTTTTCATAGCATCATAAGAAGTTTCATAAAAATCATCGAAAAAAAAAATTATTACGAAGAAACGGTTCGGGCGATCTTTACCAGAAACTAATCAACACGATTCCCAACTAATACCTTTCGAATAGTTGAATTTTCAAAATAGATCTAGGATTTCTGGCTGAAGCAGACAAACAATGTTACACCTATCTGCTATTTACAAAAGAAACGGCCTGGTCGATGGTCTGGCAAAACTAATCAATGTGAATCCTTATCGAGTTACATCAAATGGCTTGTAAAAACGTTGACAATCCAAAGGTCAAAAATGCGGATTTGGTATCATTCGATACATATTGACTTGAAACGTCGGGAAAACACAAAAATTAACAAATCGGATTTTCTGGCGACAACATAAACTCCTTTTTCGGTAAATTAAAAATCTACACAGACAAATATTATCAGTTCTTGTAATAAACTAAATTTAGAATAATACATGACAGGAACTTCAGATGTATCAGATAAATCTACTCGTGTTGATCAAGTTGGTCAGAGCAAAGGAATCGTTCTAATAGCAGGTCGTTATCGAAATCATCAAATTTCCCTTTTGAATTTAAAATTATGCAAACTGGACTCACATTCGAACCCATCAATAGTTGACATTACTCAACCTTTTGGCATAAGGAGATTGAAACGACAATAGCCTTTAGACTTAGTCTTAGATTAGGTCTAATATAATATTATCATATTAATTGTAAAACTGAGAAGATCTCATTGAAGTTCTTCTTTAGCATCGCTCTTAAATATTGTCATTTTAGCTCATAGGAATCTTTATGTATTTCTGATTGCTAAATAAAACAGAGATAAAAAAAAGTATGCAAATTCCGATGTGTCAGTTATGACAATCAACAAGTATCAAGGATAAACGTTAAGCAAATCTGGTATAAATTTAACTAGAAGTTGTTTAGTATCTATATACATAACGAGTTCAAGTGCAAAGAATCCAAGTAGTGTTGCCAAGAAAATCGTACGCTATATTTTAATATAAAGAAATTTTTCAATAAACTAGTACAGCAAACTGACTATAAATGACAATAAAACTACGAAAACTTTTAACTTCTTTATTAAATTTCACGCAAACGAAGTCGCAGGTACAGCTTGTATTAAGTATAATCGCCTAGGGCAGGTTCGAATTGGCTAATAACGTTTTAATAGAATAAAGAAATATTAAAACAAATGTACATGGCAAATTGCTGGAACTTCCCGTACCAAAAATTATTTTTTTTTAAAAAGCCTTACATTTTATTGAATTAAATGAGATTTTTGAAAATTTTGAAAGAAATGATTTTATTGAATAATTAGATTTTTTTTATTTGGAATTTTTTTGAAAATTTTGAACACTTTTCAAAGCAATCAATCGTGCTGAATGGCTGTTTTAGAGAATAAAAATCAACGCGCGTAAGCGCCGTGTCGCAGTCGAACAGATAAACATTTGTACGGAACCCAAATGTAATCAAAATTTGTGCTTATTTTTAAAATTTCTGTAAAATACCATTTTTGACCGCCAAATAGGTTATTTTTACTTTTTTCACTCGACCTCTGAAGACGCTAAACTTGCCTTCCAAAAAATGATCAGTTCTTCATTTTGTCAACACAAGTAAATTTTTTTGAATTATTCAAATCGGACGCTCCGTTCTCTATGTATGTATTTTGGCCCTTTTCTTCGAAACGGCTAGACCTGCCTTATCCAAAAACTAATCAGTACGACTCCTTATCAATAGGAATCGAATACTTTTTAAATCATTCAAATCGGTTGATCCGTGTTCTCGAAATCGTCGAAAAAGTTTGTATCCGCACCTACATATACACATACATTTTTTCTAAGGTATGCCAAAATATTCATAAACCTTGGAAACGTAAAGGTATGCAAAGAAAATATTTTCGATTTTTTTGCGATTATTATAACTTACCCTACGCGAAGTTAATAATTACAACTGCAATATTTATTTAATAAATAAAATGTCTAAATAAATATTAACAAAATAAAAAAATACAATGGTGTATGAAGTATGTAGCAGTGGCGAAATAATTTTATGAATCAAAGACCCGTGTTCACGCTTAGGTCAGTTAGGGCAATATGCCATCCGACAAAAGTGTGTTAATACCGTCATTATAACCGGTATTACCAGTTATACCAAAATACTGGTATTGAATTTGCATATCTGTATTGCATTCCCTAGTTATAACTACCAGTGTAATGCAGCAGTCAATTAGCATACTTTTCTCTACATGCTACTGATATAAATTATATAATATGTATTATTAGATTTTATTCACAATTAAAATAAATGTGAAATATAGGTCATGAGCCTTTCTACTTTTACCTTACCTTTCTCTACTTTTGTCTCGCCTTCTATCCCTATTCCGATCACTTCTATCTCTTGACCTGTCCCTGTGACGAGATCTCCCCCGATGATTTCTGTCGCGCGACCTGCCTCTGTCGCGCGATCTGTCCCTGTCGCGCGATCTGTCCCTGTCGCGCGATCTGTCCCTGTCGCGCGATCTGTGTCTCTCCCGAGATCGCACACGAGTTTTATCACGTTCGCGTGATTGCTCACGTGATTTAACGGCATCATTATCTTTTAATTTATCATTATCTTTATCTTTGAGCTTGTCATCATTAAAGTTTTTGTTATCATTTTCATTATCAGTCCGATCTCGTTCTTCATCTTTATCTTTATTCAGCGACTTCTCTTGATCTTCCTGCAATAAATAAAAAAAACGAGTTGTCGTAATATTTTATTATAATCTATAATAAAATGGTATCTACCGTCAAAAAAGAAAATGGCCCGACCGATCTTTACTAAAAACCAAAAAACTAATCAGATTCCCAACCAATATCTTTCAAAAAGTTTTTGAATTTTCAAAATCAATTCAAAATTGCGCGGACGAATTTTTTTTCACTTCTCTATTATTTGAAAAGAAACGGCTTGGCCGATCGTCGCACAAAACTGACAAATGATAGTCCTCATCGAGTTGCATCAAAACAAAAAATTATCGAATCAGATTTTTTGATAAAAACAAACTTCTCCTTCAGTAAGTTAAAAAGTAATATATATATATATATATATATATATATATATAGTTCATAAATAAAAATTTTGCAACAAACATTTGATATATTTCATAAAATATTTCACTTGTCGCTAAGTTATAAAACAAAGGAAATTTTACCCATGTTATTTCCATAGAAACTTTGGTTGGAGTGCGGACTATCTTAAAGTTAATATTAAGAGCTAAATCTTGAGCGAATTGTTTCTTATCAATATATATTTTGATATATGTATCTTTTCTGAACAATAAATCCGATAAATAAAAAACAATTTGTTTTTTGTAGATATTTAATTAAGAAGAATACAGAATATTAAGTGAAAAAAATGTTAATATATAGAAATGGATTATGTACCAGACAAAAGCAAAGTAAGGTATAATCCATTCCTTTATATTAAAAAACTTTTTTACTTATAATTCTGTATTCTTCATCAATTATAGTGTTAGTCTATATATAAAATTGTTTTTGATAGAAAAAACCTGATGATGGAACGTATCTATTACCGAAACGTCGTAATTAAACATCTACAAAAAACAAATTGTTTATTGGATTTATTGTTCGGAAAAGAAACATCTCAATTTATTGAAAAAATCCAGGACTTGTATTAATTAATTGATAAGGCTGGTAAATTTGTTCATATTATGCATTGTGATTTGAAAAAGAAATACAAACAAAATCAAAATTGGAGAGTAGATTACTAATTTTTGACATTTCAGAACTAGGTATGTCCGTCCTTCTAGTTTTCTGTCAAGTATAGTGCTCACTAGATAAGAAAAAAATATTTATAAAAATGAAAACAATCAAAGTAAATGAATAAAATGCATATAAAATTAAAAAATCCGAGTGCTACTAAAAATCACTTAATATTATTAAATGTTATTATGCCATTCACATCTCTGTAGTTAAACATTTCAAAAAAATTCACCCATTATGTTATGGTATTTGTCGAATGAAACTCCTAAATAGTATCATAATAACATATTAGTATTGCTACATATTAAAATTTAGACCTTAGATATCAGGTTTTTGAACTTTAAATTTTCAAATAAACTGTAAAATGATACATTTTACTGTACATAACAAATAACATTCAAATTCCATCCTCGTCTATCTCTCAAAATAACCATTCTAGTTGAGGAAATGAAAACCCGCTTGGCCAAATACATATCTTCTCTATGCCTTGTATCTAAATTTAAGACTCGATGGTAAAGCAGTCTCAATTTAGTCTAAGTGGCAGAAGTTTAAATGATTATATCCTTTCAAAATCATGTACTCTATTGATAATGAGGTGCACTTTCCCTAACTATTTCAATACACAGAAACACTGTTGTTTCCCCTCGTACATTATATGTAAATTTTTTTTATTGACGTATTGGCTGCAATCATATTCAATTCATATCAAAGTTGTACCAGACCTTGACGTCAAGTGAAGACAGGGTAGTATGAACCTTAACTGTCTTACAATGTTTGGAAATTATGAGCTTTTAGGAACCTAAAGCTTTGATGACATTATGACCATTTTTCGGTTATTGTAGTTAGAAGATCAACGGCTAATTGGGCATATATACATATATATACAGATAATATATATATATATATATATATATATATATATATATATATATATATATAATATAAGAAAGTGATATGGCGTAAAAACTTACATGTAATTGTAATATTCCTAATTATTTCCTAATAATAATTGTCCACAAATGCACTAATAAAAACAATTCTCGACACAAGAATTAAATTGAAACAATTATATAAATTAAAGTGACTTGTATATATATATATATATATATATATATATATATATATATATACAGTAGAATCCGCTTAGTATGACATCGAAGGGACGCCGAAATCTCGTCATACTAACCGGTCGTCATTAAAAGCGTACTGAAGAAAAACTTTTTAATATGCAAATATGTTACATGTTTCAGTAATTTAAAAGAAAAGCCTATACAAACGTTTTAATTAAAAATAAAAATGACACATTAAAATTTAATATAAAATAAAATTGACATAGCGTAGGGCGGGGCACAACGGTCCAACTTGACTTACGGTAATTATACTGTCTAAACCCAATGAACAACACATAACATACATCAAAAAAGCATCTATCGAACTATGTTCAGAAAAACTTACATACATACGTACATAATTCCTAATTATATAAATATTATATTTTTTACTATTTTTTAAACATTTGGTATCTGACCCATTTTACTTCACATACGGGGTAAAGTGGAACAACCAGGGGACGAACAGATGCAATTTCTTCTATTAAATTTTAAAGGCATTTTACGCTACATTATTGAACCAATGCAAAATATTAATTCTGTGGGTACATTTGTTACAAAGACAACACAGTATATTAACATTGATCTGCTATTGGTCAGAAATATTCATCAGAAGAGCCGGAATAACAATTTATTCAATTAATCTCTTGTGAAATTGCTTTTTTTAAACTTTACTATTTTATTGCTTACACCTTTGCTAAAGTAAAGGTTCAGCTGGTCCTTTTTATCGCACTAGCAAAGTCATAAGAATAAAGGTGATGGCTGGTTATGAATTTATACATTTTTTGCCCTCTACTATCAAATATAATTGTTAAAAAAAATCTAATTTTATTTGTTTATGAGATATCCGTGGTGGGCCATTAATAATTAGTCTACCCTACCCATAAACATACAAATGTGTTTTTTTAATGTAAGTAATCAGTAATTTTTCATTGATTTTTTTACATAATTTTATTGTGAAAACAGTCCCTGGTGCTATTGTGCACAAAAGACATAGCAATTGCTTTCGTAGATTAGGCCACATCATGTAAAATCATGTCGGTCATTATAATTGGACATAATTTTTTGCAAAAATGGGTCATTATAAGCGACACGTCAATGTAAGCGAGGTCAATATATCCGACTAGACAGCTGTTTTTTTAAGGAATTTTATATGGAAACCAAATTCCTAGTGCAAATACGTCATATTAAGCGGTTGTCAATATATCCGGCGTCATACTAATCGGATTCTACTGTATATATATATATATATATATATACAAGTCACTTTACTAGAAGTTACATTCATGAGATTTTTCACTGGTTGTAATATATACATTATACTTCAAACACTAGCATAAATCAATATTATTTATATAGATACTAGCCGTACCTCTCTACGTGTTGCCATGTTTTACTTTCAATTAAAAATTTAAACAAAAAGGAATATTTGCAATGTATTATGAAGGTAAATGAGCTATATTAGAAGAACCAGTGAGTCAAATGCCCCACTGAACATAGTTTTCTAAGAAGTTCAATTTCTGATATTCACACACATGTAAGGACACTGACTGTCTTTAAGTCTTAAAAAAAATGTTGACCCATGAATACTGATCTACAGAAATCATAGATAAAATCATTCTGTATTATTTGGATATTCATCTTTTAAATATTGACTCAGACGTACATGTACTATTTTTCCTTGTATATGACTATGTATTCTAAAAAATCTCTTCGTTTAGCAAAACCTTTATTCTATCTGACGCCAAGGTTCACTTGATTCCCAAGCCCCCCCCCCATCCGGTAAAAGCCTTCAAGGTGACCAACCCCTACCACTCGGTTTTAGTAAAAATATGCAAAAACCTGTCTGGGGATATACCTAACAGTTTCCCAAATTTTCACAGCAATCAGATGTATGGTTTATGAATGCATAAAAAATACACACATACACACATACACGCAGGTATGACTTCGCCCACTTAAAAGATGAGTATAAAACAAGTTAAGAATTATAACATTCTAGATTCTCCACCCACGAAGTAATGCCTAACGGCGGTTTCCGTGGGGACTAGAGGCAAGGGCAAAGCGGAGGTTTTAGTCGGTATTATATCAGAACGGTATTGAGTCCGACATACCCAGACAAAAGACCAGTCTGGGATGCATAAAGGCATTTCCTTCGCTATACAAAAAAAAAACACACACACGCAGGCATACATACATTTTTATATATATAGATTATTCACAGATAATTATGCATTCATAAAACTCTCGGAAACATATATAAGGTGTGTATCATTTGCATATAAAATACCAAAAATACATACCATTCTTTTCTTAATTTCTTCCTTTTTTTGGTCTAAAAATTCTACTGGAATCCCAGATTCCGTGTCTTGAGCAGAAAGTAATAGGGCCCACAACTCATCCATAAATTGTCGAGCATTTTTTCCATTTAAGAAACCCGTCATGTTAATTTGCATTTTTTTAGGACAAGGGAACTGAAAAAAGTATCATATTGCTTACACATCTATGAAAAAAATTTTATAATAATGAAAAATTTCAGTATAAACTGTTGAACGTAAACAAAATTAAAATTATATTAAGTATAAATTTAAATATAATATATAGCAAAAATACATTTATGACCTAATAAATGAATCATATAGAAAGCAATGATTTCGATTATGAATTATTTCAGTAATTCTGATATAAATCATCATTAATATCCAACTTATTATAAACACAACTTAATGTTTTAAATTATCATGCATATTTACATTTTATAAATAAGTGATGATTAGTTTTGAAAAAAAAAAAAAACTAAATAACGGGTTGACACCACATAATCAAATAATTACAGGTTATAATTTACTGGTATTTGAACTATGCTACTTCCATAAATAATATTTGTGAAACCGAACTATTGTACGAATCTAATAGTAAATATTGCTTTCACCACTTACTTGCACATCTAATTGATTGTACACAAACTCCACAACAACATCATCTTCAATGTGAAGCAGATCAGTAATTTTTTGCGTTATCCAGGGACGTAAAACATCAAGTTTTACTTTACTCATATCAACCTAATATTGAATCAATGCATTATTTTTAATATTCTGAGAAAACGACACACAATAAAAATATGAGTTTACTTAATTACATATTACAAAATTCATGGTTCCAAATTAAACAGGTGAAAGAACTAACCCTTTGACTCAAGCAATCCCCAAATTTCATTTGCTTCATAAGTTTCTTCTCCTTGTCACTGAATCTTGTATCCTGTTGGGTAGTTGTGCCCTGACAAATATACATCAATGTAACAATAAATCTTTATAACCAAAATTAAGTAAATAGCATTTAGGACTACATACCGTATACATCATCTTGATTTCGTTTTCCTATTAAGCTAATGAACAGACAGAGCGGCAAAAATGTCACACAAAATCGGTTATTCAGTACAATTTTTGTATATAATAATTATGCTATAACTACTAAAGTCTTATAACACTTCACAATACCAAAATTTATCAAAACTTATACTTAACATAGAAGTCAGTCAACTAAAAAATCCAATCATACTTAATTAATAATATAATAATCTACAATCGGTATTTTCGAGACTTTAGTTGATGGCTGTCTCGTGCGATAAAATTAAAATGGCGTATACGCGTCGAAATTTTCTGAAAGGTGGCGCCATCTATTAACGCATAAGGTTTTTCGAGCAAAACTTCGTTCAGAAAAGCATATGTCATGTCATTAATTGTTCATTGAGGCCACCACACGCTATCTTATTGCTGTGACGATCTATTCTACGATCTACACACGATTTTGGCTTTTTGACCAAAATATTATAGAACATTATGTCCAATTATGTCAACTGTTGAATACTTTTTGCGAAAAATTGGGATACAAGGACCACTCGGACCATTTAATGATTTTTAATTCTGGCATTTTTAAGTTCTCAAATATATATACTCCAATTGATTAAGTTTTAAAGTTTTGTTTACTGTAGTACATTAAATTGGTGTTAAGCAAAATATTACTGAAATTCACAGTTTGTTATGTATTCAATGCATTATATTTCATAATTGATATGCTTTAAATGAAACAATCTAATACAACCTATAAATAGTATGTCACAACTAACTAAATATTCTGAATAAATTAAAAATAAAAGTTTGTTTCACATTTAGAATACAAAATGTCAGTATAAAAATCAATTTATTAAATAGCATGACACGTAAATTCAAAAATTACATAAATATAAAAGGTAAGGTAAATATCACAGGAAAATCAAACATAATAAGGCAATTGCGTTAGTATTCTTCATCTGCTGACTGTTCACATTCGGCAGAGTCTGCAGCAACCTCTTCGTAATCCTTTTCAAGTGCAGCTAAATCTTCACGTGCTTCAGAAAACTCTCCTTCTTCCATACCTTCTCCAACATACCAATGTACAAATGCTCGTTTAGCATACATCAAATCAAATTTATGATTGAGCCTTGACCAAGCTTCTGCAATTGCTGTTGTGTTAGATAACATGCAAACTGCTCGTTGTACTTTTGCCAAATTTGCACCTGGCACTAAAGTGGGAGGTTGGCAGTTGATTCCAACTTTGAAGCCTGTCGGACACCAATCCACAAAATTAATATTTTTTTTACTCTTGATAGTAGCAATTGCTGTATTAACATCCTTTGGTACAATATCTCCTCGATATAACATGCAGCAAGCCATGTACTTTCCATGACGAGGGTCACATTTCACCATTTGATTAGCTGGTTCAAAGCAAGCACTAGTAATTTCTGCTACTGATATTTGTTCATGATATGCTCTTTCTGCAGAAAGAATAGGCGCATATGTTACTAATGGAAAATGTATCCTTGGATAGGGCACAAGATTGGTTTGGAATTCATTCAAATCCACATTTATAGCTCCAGAAAATCTCAAAGAGGTTGTTATTGATGACACTACTTGGCTAACCATGCGATTTAAGTTTGAATAATTAGGTCTTGGTATGCCTAGGTTGCGCTTACAAATGTCATAAATGGCTTCGTTGTCGACCATGAAGGCACAATCCGAATGATCCAAAGTTGTATGTGTTGTTAATATTGAATTATATGGCTCAACAACTGATGTCGATACTTGAGGAGCAGGATATATAGCAAACTGTAATTTTGATTTCTTCCCGTAATCAACAGACAAACGTTCCATGAGCAATGAAGTAAATCCAGATCCCGTACCTCCACCAAATGAATGGAATATAAGAAAACCTTGTAAACCACTACATTGATCTGCTAATTTTCTTATCCTATCTAATACTGCGTCTGCCATTTCTTTCCCAACAGTATAATGACCTCGAGCATAGTTATTAGCTGCATCTTCTTTGCCAGTGAGAAGCTGTTCTGGGTGATACAGCTGCTTGTAAGTTCCTGTACGAACTTCATCTGCAAACATTTTGAGTTTATAACAGAAATACTATAACTTAAATTACATCATAACAAATATCATTCACCTATAACTGATGGCTCCAAATCCACAAAAATAGCTCGCGGAACGTATTTCCCAGAACCAGTTTCGCTGAAAAATGTGCCAAATGAATTTCGACCCCAGTTTTATCCGCGGGCATTTGCCCATCGGGCTGAATATCATGTTCCAAACAGTACAACTCCCAACAAGAATTTCCCATCTGCACACCTGCTTGTCCAACATGTATTGAAATGCATTCCCTCTGCAAAATAGTAATAATAACAATAAAAAAAAAATAATCATGCAATAACTATGAAAAATGTACCTACAATCAAAATACTTACCATTTTGACGGCTGACGAGAAGTAGAATGCTTGCTGACTTAAAACTGAATGCAATGGAATTCAGAGAACGACTAACGAACGTGCACCAAATTTCTTGAGCTTATATGCATGAATGGCGGTAAAATTAACCGTCATACATGGCTACCAATGTTTAAAACAGTGGCGTTAACTGTCATCATTTGACAGTTGTTAATCATATTTAATGTTGGTAAACTATAACTATTTACGTCTAGTCTAAGCATAGATTATGGATTATACTTTTTTTCGATCTATTAGTCTAAGCATAGATAAATTTATTTATTTATATTTATTATGTTGTTGGTCGTTACTGCAGTTACCTTAATTGTAGTCTTAGTTCTAATAAGGCACGTTTATGTTTATTTATCCATGTGTTTATCGATCTATGCATGCATCATCATCATCATCACATATGTTTACTTATCTATGCATCATGCATCTGTCACGTGTTTTTAGCACATAGTCTTATCTATGCTTTAGCACATAATTTTACCACTTGAGTTAATTTTCCGATAATTCTGAATATATTGAATATATGAAATGGAAACAAAATAGACAAAGTAAAATTAGTGATACAAAAAACTAAACATTTATCATAAATATGCAATTTTTAATAGAACTTAAAAACTATCTCGGAGCATTTATATTTACCATACCATTTTTATCTATTATATGTATAATGTGAAATCAAGTGGTAAGGGCTAACCATACCGAAGACCAATTGTTTGGACCAATTTCAATTTAATTTTTCATGTGTATTTAAAAAAATACTTATAACACTAAATTTAACCACTTCACCGCAAACCTCTGTTTCGTAAAAATCATAGTAATTACATCATTTTATATCTGGGTTTTTGCCAGTGAATGTTTTTGACTCAATGTTACATAAAAAATAGGTTCATAAAGGACTGGCCCATTTAATTTACAATACTCAAATATAATTTATAAGTAATATACGTTGTTATTTTAAATTAGATTCAACAGTTTTGTTCTTTATAAAGCACTATAAAAGCTTACACGTGGGGTAAACAGAAACAACTAACAACTCAATTCAACTTTACACTGTCAAAGTGTAAATAATAATATATTAGTAATTAAAAAAGTATATTTAGTTAAAAAAAAACTTTTACAAGTGATAAATTAGATTATTGTTGTTCCAACTCTTCCAATGTATATTTTAGTAAAGACTTTGTGTCCATAAAATTTGTATTTGGTCTTAGTTAAATAAAGTAGTTGTTATTTCGTTAAATCCTCTTAAAATTGAAAATAAGACATTGTATGTCTTTGCTTTCTGTCTAAATATAGAAATAAACGTATTTCTCTATTTAGGCAATAACTAGGAAATTTTCTGAACATATTTCGATAGTTGTTTGTTTGTTATGTGTCATATGCTGTGATATATGTTGTCTGGTTGCCACAGTATAATTACTGAAATTCAACAAATAAGTTATATATTGCAATGCTGAATGGAATATTTCAATCGATGCATCTAATACAGCTCAACAACAATCAATCACGAAAGATATGTGCGCTATTTTCCATCTTAATAAATAGATATCAGAAATACAGAATCGTATTTTTGATTAAATCAATAAAAGTCTTTAAGCTATTTACATTATAACTTTTTATTATAATAAGTTATCAATATTTTGTTTCATAAGTGTTCGTATTTATTCAATATCCTTAATGTGCTGTTAGAAATATTTATCTTCCAAGTTGATCGAAAACCAAACCTTACCGGGAATGTAATTTACTTTTATATTCATCCAGCTTTCATCCAACGATCTATGGAATACTCTAAAGCAGCCACCCAGCTATAAAATTTTGAATATTTTAAACATAATTTTACTATTATCTAAAATATTTAATCACTTTTCACTCAGTACCGTTTTCTATCCATTTCTGATTCTGTATGAAAATAATAATGCCTTTGTCTAGATTCAGGCGGTGCTAATTCAAATGCATGTTTTTTACCCCCAACTGTTGACGGTTGTACTTTATATCCCTGAAGACATGCCATTCCTACAAATAATTGAATATATATATATATATATATATATATATATATATAGTAAAGTATTAAAAGTTACATTACATACACACTATTTCATAAATATAATATTGTGTAAATGTAGTATTGATGACAAAGCAAACTACAATCGCATTTATACACGAAGATTTGAAAATAATATTTCAAATCGTTCGTTTGTTTGTGTTGTTTATAGTATATAAAATGCATAGAAATCCCAAAATTGTATTCAAAGCTACTATTGTCATTACTCTTACATTTATTAATAGAGCTAAATACTTTAGATCCAATTACCAAATGCCGTTTTACTGCTGCCATCTTGATAGAAATAAAGACATGCATCTTTGAGAACGCAGTATCGCTTGCTCCACGACCTCCACTTTCCTCCTAATTTCATTAGATATCCGAAACAATCAGGACGAGAAATACAAGCTGCTGGAGCCCGCAAACTTCTGCGTGACGTCTCCAACCACGGATCTGTTTGCTCAGCTGCATGCGATATTACAGCGATCCATCTTGCCATATATAAAAGTTTGATTTTATTCAGTGATTAAATTATGAATCGGATTTATTATTTTTTAAATTTTTCTTGCAATGTTACAATATATTTGGAAAATCAAATCAATAATATTAAACAATATACACAAAATTTATCGCAAAAATCATAGTATCGGACCTTGCGGCAGCTTCTTCTGAATCCGCAGCGAGTTGCAGTGGAGGTGCTTCTTCTGAAGATATGCGGAAAGCATAGGCTTGAGTTACGTCACTTGGTCCGGA